GCAGCGACGGCGGCAGCGGCAGCGACAGCGACAGCGGAGACGCCCTCCCGGTGAGTGCCTCTGACGAGACTTTCGCTCTCTACGAAAAGCTTCACTGCCTGCCTGCTCTAGGCTTCTCTAGCCCCGGCCTTTCCTGCCTGTACGGGGAGGAGGGCGGGCGGTGGCTTTGCAAGTGGAGGCGTAGCTCAGGGTACCGGCACGTTGCTGTTCAGTGCGTCTTGCCGAGGGGAAGCACATGCGCATTTTGTTTCTGGTTTGTTTCGGGTTGGTTGGTTTGTTCTGCGGTGTTTTGCGAGTGGTTGTGGAATGTGGGAACGTGAGCGTGCCTCTGCGTTCACGACTATTTTTTGCTGGGGGAAGAGTTGCCAAGCTTAGGCTAGGAGAAGGGCCGCGTGTCTGGGAAATGGCACGCGTCCGTAAAGGAGGATCTTAAACAGCGTTTTTAAGGAAATAGTCGCACGACCCAGTGTTTGCTGTAAAACTGCACGTCTCTTACTTCAGCCTTACATCGTTTATATGCTCTAAGACGTGCTTGTTTCGTCATTATAGTGTGGTCAGCATACGGATGTACCTCCCTTGTGTATATATATTCACACTGCGATCCTGGTGCATCACCGGGAGAAATGGTGTGTGCAGCTGGTGTTCGGATGATATGCATTTGAAAATGTGGAGGGTTAGAAACAGCCAAAGAGGCTATGAAGGTTTTGAGACGAGAGTTGAGGGATCTCTATCTCAGCCTCTGCTGAAGAAGTCAAGGTTTGTGATTTGCTGCATTCCTCTTCTCTCTTATTACATAAAGCAAGCAGCTGTGGTATCATGCAATCTCAGTTCCTTCTGCCCAAATAAATTTCGCCAAAGAAATGGGGTTATAAAAACCTGCTGTGAGTGCTGTAATCTAAATTATTATAGTAGGCTTCCTTAATTGCTGAATGTTTCAAATGCTAGTCATATTTGTTGGTATGACCTAAAGCTAGGCCTCAGTGTGCCTGATAACAGGTTAGAAATGCATTAGAGGAGTAGCAGTCTGCATACCTACCTGCAGTGTTTAAAGCTATGAAAGGATGGCTTTGTAATATATATATTTGCTTAATATGTCTGTGGATTAAACTCTTGCTTGTGGCATATGTAGGGCCAATAGTCAGACAGCTATGGGGCAGTGAAAGCGTGCACAGGCAATGCAATGAGGGTGAGAGGCTGGATTAGGAAAAGGAAGGTAGGTGAGTCAGCAGTGAAGTTGGCTGGGCAACTGAAAATGAGAAGAGCTATACCCCTCTGTAAGGGCCAAAGCAAGAATGTAGGGCCTAGCTTGCAACCTGAGACCTCACTGACTTTCAGGTGCTCTGCGCCTGAATTTTAAGGCAGAACTGTGGCAAAACAGCTGTAAATTACAGTAGTGAACACTTCTTCACTGGAGTCACAGTGAAGAACCCACTTTGTTTTGTATTTCCTTTTTCTCTGCCAACCACGTACAGAGGCAGAGAAGCAGCAAGTTTGATAAGCAGTTCTGTTAGATTAGTGTGGAGTCCTGTGTGTTTGCTTTAGATTCCATTTTTTTCTCAGTCAGTATTATTTGCACTCTTTTTTAATGAAAGGCAGAATAAACTTTGGACACACAGATGAAAAAAACCACAGACACAGTGGAAAACATTTGCAAGCCCATCACAAAATAATAGTACAAAAATTCAAAAGAGAAATAATTTGGTCTTCCAAGATTTTCTATCACTTTTCTCTTTTCCTTGCGACTAAGCAAGCATAAAATTGATGGATATTACCATGAAATGGACGTGCAAAACTACTTATTTCTGCTTATAAGTTTACAGAAAGTATCATGTTGTATTTGCCTCTTCTTATGAGTATCAGAAAAGCCATAGTCTAGGTACAGATGATACTTGCACCTTAAACAAAAACTCACTGACCTCCTTCTCAGATTTCCTTACTCCTCTGCATATGGTAACTTATTAAACACTCATTTCCTTCTAAGTATGTGTCCCAAGTCAGGAAACAAGACCTCAAAATACCTGACAAGGTGTAATACTGCTTTGAAAAGTCTTCTTAAGCTATGAAATCATTGCATTAGTGACTGGACCTTTGGGTTGGATATAATCCTACTTGTCTTTTCTTTGTGTAAGTATGACATTGATCTGCAGAGTATATTGACCTGAATATGAATGGCAAAATATTTTAAAATAGAGTATGATTCACCACAGTCTATTCATCATGTCTCTGATTTTTGAGTGTGGGGAACAAGAGAAAATCAGATATCTTACCCCTTGATTTCCATAGAATATTATATTATTTTTACCTGCAAAACATGCCAGTCTGGCATTTGAAGATACCTCTTTGACATAGGCTATCCTCAAAATGGCCTACTTTATTTCCTGTCTTACTGATATTTTGGCCTAGATTGAACAGGCTTCTTAGGACTTCAAAAATACAGTTATTTAGTAAGTTTGTGTTGCTCTATTATTTGTTTTCCTGTCATTTAGCCCAGCAATACACTGTTGCAACTTAAAATTAAGCAAAATAAACTATTGAGACATAAATCCCACTGTTTTTGAGTTCAAAACGGGGTTGTTGAGAGAAAATCATATAGTAGGATTTCAGGTGAATGTGTACAAAGATTTCTCATGCAGATCCAGGTCCTTTCCAGAATACCATGAGTTTGTATATGTCCTTTTGCGTGTGGTGGGCATTTGAGCTTTGACATAACCTTATGCTTCAGGTGAATGAACCTTAGTATCCCTTATCCCTTCCCACTGCTGCCTCTCAGACATAAAATCATATGCGGCATGAGGGTGGGAAGAAAATGTTTCCATCTTTGATGTAGGCTGGTTCGCACCTGCATGATTTTAGGAGATGACTGTATTGTGGATGACAGTACAAAGAGGAAGAGAGGACCCATGAATTAGGAGGGATCACTTCCTGTTGCAAATTGGTGACCGGGTTGTGTTTGGCAGCTCTGCCCATAGTCTGTCATAGGAGGTTGTGAAATCATCCCGGCATGTTTCAGCAGAAAGTCCTCCAATCCCTACATACATATCCATGCCTTCTCCACGCTCCCTGGACCACCTATACATATGCTTACGTGCCTGCTACCCTCTTGTCTCCTCCTGAAATAGTTCAAATCCACACTACGTTCTCCTTGGGACGAACTGTTCATTTGTTACCCTGAATTGTGCCAAGGTGCACATTTGGGGGAAAAGGAATTATCTTCCCCTGATTTCTAGCGACACCCTATTGAGTTGGGAGGTGGCCTGATCAATATCTACAAAGACACAACGCTGGTATATATGCGGGAGCTCGGTCACCAATTAGGTGCTGTGGAAGGTTTTTCTTATCCCTTCATGTCCTCTGCATGAAGGGGCTGTGGCAATACAGCCCTCCATCAGACCTTTCCTTCTTCACTGGAAAGACGCATTTTTAATGCAAAGGCGAGATATAACGACTCTCCCTGAGGATAGGGTCTATTTTTTTCCTGTGGCTTCCTCATGCAACAATCACCGCCGGCGACCTTTTCCTGGAAAGGTTCTTAAGATATGGCTCCTGCTGCAGTAGCACCTGGCTAAGTTAGGAGATGACAGTGTAGTTTGTCAAAGAGACACAGATCAAAGGAGAGATACTGTTAGGTTGTATGGCACTGATAGGATGACGCTGAGTTTTGATGCAAGAAACGTCAAAAGAGATGGGATTTGGCAGCTCTCTTGTGACCACTCTACTTTTCTCAGGCGTTGATATTCCCAGCTCTACTCGAGCATCAGTGACCACTTGCCTTCTGTCGAACTGGTAAAGAAATCTGTAATCTACTTGTTAGCTCAGGATTTCCCAATTATCGAAACTCAAACCGGTTTTTCCATGCAGTGCTTCAGCGGTTGGACTCATCGCGCTTATTTTTTTTTTTCCCATGGTAGTGAAGAGGAGGTGGTGGGTTCAGATACACTGCAGCACACTCTCCCGAGAGATCTCTCAGGGCAATGTGCATACAGAGACTAGGGTTCCTGCTTTTCTTCAAGCAGTAACAGAAGGTTTGTCCTGCAGAAGTCTTCCAGGTGGAGGGAAATCAGACATAAGTTTACCTAGCTGCACACGTTCCACAGATACAATTTTTCTATTTTGCGCTCCTGCATATCTGCATATACATGCATATACTTGCATATCCGTAATATACAATCCGGATTCGAGTGTTTCCTAAGTATGTGTTTAACTGGAGCTTCGAGTCGTTCACTTTACCTTGGACGCTGCCGTTCTTAGACTCAGGGTGTCACTGTTGGCCAACGCGGAGGAGCAGTCCTTCTTACCAGCGCCTC